TTTCGTCGGACATAATGTATCTGGCTTCTCGGTCGTGAAACATCTATCTGAAACAGTACTTCGAGTCAAAGTGGAAGAGGAACTTTCCTCTACTTTTATTGAGTTGCTCGCCATTCGACATGCTATCAAGGTTGCTATCTCCGATGGTATCAGAAGGTTTGTTATTTTTTCCGACAGCAGGTCAGCTCTACTTCTAATAAATAAAAGAGATGCAGAAAATCAATATGTGTTTGATATTCACAAGACGTTGCACGAATCTCAAGTGGATGCGGCTTTTTTTTAAATGTAAAAGCCGACTTTCATGCAGGCAGAGCTCGTGTTGATGGGACAATTTTGTCCATCAAATATACTCCCAATGAAGCAATTCGGGCAATTCGCAACCACATCCTTCAACAGCTAAACGACGAATTTAAAGAAATCGCGCGCGTTAGATCCTATCATCTTTTCTATAAATTAAATCCCACATATCAATTCAAACCCTTCTCTGTATCTTCTTTTAATTCCTGGGAAACCAAAATTCTTTATAGACTCATGAGTGGTCATACTTATGACAAAGTTTATTTAAAAATGATTCGCGCTATACCAAGTGATGTTTGTGAAGTTTGCAATCTTGTCAAATCTGCTGAGCATCTAATCTTCAGATGTCACAGGCTTAATGGCATTAGAGATTCCTTTAGCTTCTTCAAGTTATATGGCTGTCTCCTCGATCTCTTTGCAGCAAAAAATGTACGTCATCTCGGGGAACTAACTTGCTTTATTAGAAAAGCCAATTTATCCTTTTGGAATTTTTCTTTTTCCTCTTCTTTCCTTTTTTTTTTCTTTTTTTTTTTGCGTTCAATCATTTTCAGTTATCATAGCATTCCTTTTCGTTTTGAGCCAAAGATTGCAACACTGTCTGACTTTCAAGAACTCAACAAGCACATTTACACACACACACACAATTACATTTAACATGCTCACTCCAGTTATTACGGCCGCTCTTTTTTTTTTTGTTACGTTTTATACATAATCGTGACTAAAAATTACAACAGTTTATTATCTGGACATATAAGGCACAAATCTATTGGCTTAGTCCATCTCCGTTCAACATACCAAAAAAAAAAAGAGTTCATTTCATAGAATTTATGGGATCCGACGTTAAGATTAAATTCTAAATATCATTTAGATTTTGCAAAGGATTTTATACGGGTTGAAAATTCGCAATTATATCTAAATTGACTGAGTTTTATGAACATAACGATCCTAGAGAATCGATTGGGGACATTGAAGTTTATTTCTCCAAATAATGCCAGCGAGTCAATATTACTATTTACTTCCTTAACTAAGAACAAAACACTAAGGATCTATATTTTTCAAATGACGGTAAAGCCAACAAAAACAATCTATTTTGACAACGAGTCAAATAGACAAGCGAATCTCAGTCCACATTACTGCCGCAAAAAGCAGAAATTTCTTTTGAAAGAATTGTGTGGAATCCATATAGCACATGCTGGATCGTAAGGCACACTTAGGTGTTGGTCTCACCAATATCACCAATTATAATCGTTTCGCAAAATTAAGATTGTGACCAACATTTAATAAAATTTAGCGCTGATCTACGCTTATTTAAAAAGAGCTCAATGTGAAAATTAAAACGCAGTCTTTGTTCAAATCAAACTTCCGAATCCAGGAAAAAATGTACTTTTCCCAATCTTTGTGAATTGATGAAATACTCAGTACTGAATGAATTCTTACTAAAGCAAGGAAGCTTCTTGTATATTATTAGATTTTATTTCGTAAGATATATTGGTGTAACCAAATTATCCGGATTAGATTAAAAAGGATACCGGGATGATTCCTAGGTGAAGGAATATAATAATGTAATATTATTGTCGTACATTACGATATGGGCGAGCTTAATCTCTGAAGGGAGGTAATTGAGGTACAGGATAAGCAATTAAAGTTCTAAGTGGTCGCCTTGCATGCGACGTCATACCTTCTTACGGTTAGGTAAAGAGATTAGATAAAAAAGGCGAGGGAGGAGCCAAGAAAAAGAAAACTGTCTGTTAACAATAAGGGATGGTGGGTTTTGCACAAGAGAAATTCGCAGAGAGTTTTGTAAAGTCATTCATAGGCAGCGGTTCCTAAGCAACTTGCTTTTGCTTGTTCTCCTTTACTTTTCTCGCTTTAATGTAGTATATGTATAAACAAAAATTTTACCTAAGTGAATATATAGCAAAGAATAACATGTACACAACATATAAGCAATACATTATGTCAAATCAATATATTTATATGTATATAGTTATATGTATCACAAACATGAAACAACATTTTAATCTACCGAACTTGCAATAAAAGAAAAAATAGAAATGAAAAATGTAAAAATATTGAAATCAATTCATGCTCAATCAAGCGATGAGGAACTCCAAAAAAAAGAACACAAGTGCCCGTTCTGCGATACCCTGCAATCCAGATTTAAGCAAGCACATACGATCCCATATAATTATGTTTATGCAGACCTTTTTTTTTCATCATAATATTTGTTAATACATGGGCGTTGTTTGGTTTCTTTTGAGCTCCAACTCTACACACCTGATATATTGCATTGAATTTTTTTTTTTAAGCATATATATATTTTTGTACCCACATTATGCTTCACACATTATTTTGCGCTATATTTATTAACATCATTATTTTTTTTTTTTTTTTCATCACAAATGAAAATTACGTTTTATATTCTTACTCAACTTGTGGCTACTACAAATTTTTCTTATGAGTAATCTGAGTAACTAGAAGGATTTAAGAAGGATTTATGGTTTATGTCTAGGCATATATATACATATTGATATACATATGTCTAATCTAAAATTTTGTTGTTAATATGCATAGTGGTACTTTTATCTTGCTACTATACATACCTCATTCCACTTTTGGTTTTACATTTTTAAATTGTTGCTGATCATGTTGGTATAATACTCTTTTGAATTTTTGTTGGTAATTTTCTTTTGCTTGTGTCTACTAAATAAACCTAAAATTTGTAAGTATTAGATACTACCTTTTGCTAGGATATATACAGGTTAGGTTAGTAATAAGTATTTATTATTATTATTATTATTATTAATTTCGCCAGAGAAATAAATTCTAAGACTAAACTCTTAAAAGTACTAGCATCTAAGGCTATCGGCCTTTATTAAAAGGTCTACCGCACTTGAGATTCGAACCCACGACCACTGAGTTGCTAGTCGAGACTCTTGCCTACTCGGCCACCCAGGCGGATGTGTAATAGTGTTTATTTCTGTTTACTATATGCTAAATTCAGAGAAAGTTGGCAAATATAACCCTTGGAGGAATTATAATAGTGAATGTAATTCCATTCGCTTGTTTATACGTCATCCTAAACACATTTTAATAAATTTTTCAACAATATCAATTAGGACGAGAAAATATTTTACAAAAAAAATTTCTACTTAAATTAAATTTCCACAATGTCCAACGAAACGTCACCAACGAAGATGAATATTGCAGCTGCGGAATACGCAGGATATCATAACAATATTGAAGAGGAACAAGCTGCTACTGGAACAACAGATCCTGCCCAACTTATGGCAGGTATCTTGAGGAAACATTATGAAACTTGTAATTTAAAAAGAGACACGCACAGTGTCGGGTTTAAATCAAGTTAAACTAAGCAGCGGTATTCGGCAACAATCAAAATGCGTCTGCAATGATATGAACACCAAGTCACGTTGTGTTAACTCCAAGAGAAGAGCACGTTACTAACGAAAGACGATCAAAGTCGCAACAACTGTTTGGAAACTTCAGTCAAACATAATGAAATAACTCATAGAAGAAATATCGATCTTAAATGATGACGTGTCATGCAAAGTTCTCATTATTGAGGGCTTTATTTTTCGTATTGAGAAAATAAAGCAACAAAATCAAATTAGCTAAGAGTTTCATTGTTTTACGTCGCTCTTAAGAAAGAACTACTCGACCAGAATAAAGCAGCCGATTCCCACTATGAATTGATTCATGAAACCATTGAGCGTGAACAACAACCAGCCGAATCATTCCAAGCCACCTATTAGTATACCCTATTCGATACAGAATAGATATTTTTGTCTCTCACCTTCCATGCGACTTTCGTTGGTGGTATTAGGCTTTTGATCAACAATCTTGTTTCATTTCTTTGTTTTTAGAAAACAGAGTGCAACATGCACTGATAGGTTGTTAATTTCCCGCAGTAGAGAGAGTTTAATAGCAGGAATGTTTTGACGCCATTTTTGTCGGTTTATCGGCTTTAGCTCGGTTTTCGGAACGGCATTTAAGGCATGACGAGTTTTTTTGGCGAAATAAAAAAAGCTTTAAAAAGCACATTAAAATCTTGTAAAACCTTAACAAAAAAGTACTGAATAAATTAACATTTGCCATCTAAAATCATCTATAGGCTTGGTTGAGTAAACCGGTCTGCAGTATTTTTTGTGTATGCTTGAAATTGTAAAAATACTTACGTAAAAAGAAAAATCATTTAATTATTAGTGAAACTGCTCTTGAGGTAAATTAAAAAAAAAAAGAGAAAAAATACAAGTCATTTGCATAACGGAATATAACCATGAAAGAAACTATAAATGAAGAAATTGCTTAAGAAAATAAGACAATAAACGAACTTTCGAATATTGTAAAGAATTCGTGCAATACCATTCCAATGTAAATTCTGTGAAATCTTATTAATATATTTTTCTAAAATGTGCAATGACAGCAATAACAACAGAAAAACACAAAAATTAGTTTCAAAGAAGTTTGCTTTGTTTATATGTACAGTGAGTCTTATTAATATTGAGTTCTTTCGCTCGACAAGAAATAAGCGATTATTAAACCTAGTCCATTGTTCAAACATAAAAATTTGTTTTGCTATTTTGTACTACTTGAATACATATTAAAATATAACAACAAAAAAATAAGCAAAACATTGTTCTTTTTTTTGTTTTTGGTATGTTGGATGGAGATGGACTAAGTCAATAAATTTGTGGCTTATATGTCCAAAACATTGTTCTTGTAAATAATTTTCCAATTAAATAACTTCAACAACTCAAAAAACATAGCGTCATTAATTTGGGGTTTTTTCACATAAAGAAGGATACGAAGAAAAAAAAAGCATACTAATAAAAATTAATATTTGGTAGGGTAGCCCTTTTGCTTAAGAACGTCATTTAAGAATTTTGACATATTTTGTACAATTTTTCTTGTGTAGGAAACAAGAGTCTTACTCCATTATCCTTTATAGTTTATTTTCCAGATCTTGGACGGAAGGGATTGGCTATTCTCGCTGATGGCGGTCTAGTTTATCCCACATATTTTTCATGGGATTTATGGATGGTGATTGGGGAAGAGGATGAAGCACTTTGGAACAGTTATATAAGATTTTGTCGGACAGTTACTAAGATTCTTAGATAAGTGGAACACTTATGCTTGAGGTCGTTTTCTTGGTAGAACTTAAATGTTTTCAAAATACCAAGTTTATCCGCACCTTCTATCAAATTTTCCTTCAATATCCTTAAGTAACTCTCCTTGTTTAAAAGGCCATAATAGGAAACTAAGACGCGAGCGAAAAACCCCAATATTAATCAAACTCACTCTAATTATAAAAAAATATAAAAATACATGAAATAAAATAATTTCTAAAAACTGGAAAGAAAAATTGTGAAGAAACTTTGCAAAACGACAATGCTAGCCATGAAAACTCAGCTTTTCAAAAGGCACGACATAAATGTTTCAAGCCATATAAGAGACCTACATTGAATAAGGCTTTTAAAACACAAAGTGTACAAAAAGTTGTATGCCAATTGTTTGGAAAGGAAAGCGTGCAATTTAGAAGTCGCCGACAAATGAGTTCGTGATATAGCGACGCTCTTAAGATAGGAACCTTTCAATAAATGCCAGTTGCCGTTAGCTTACCAAAGATTATTGAGTGGTTGAATATGAAATTGTCTATATTAATTACCTGCATTTATCTTACTTTATTTTTGCGTTTGTAATGCCTTCGGAGTATATTTGTATTGACGTGTCTTATAAGACAGATGGATCTTAGAATTATTTTAGTTGTTTCTTTATATAGATATTTTTATTAGATATCTAATATTATATATTTTTACTTAAAAAAAAAAGTCCTCAGTTTCTTTTTATAACGAGAGGAAAGTAGATTGAAGGTAGTCTTCGGACATAACTTCGGGGTCTCCCATGAAAATCATGGGCCGAAGGATACGATAGGCAGAGCACGTATAGAAAGGCGCGGAGGCACAGTGGATGCCCGTTCGGCGGGTTAGGTTACGTCCGTGCGTGTATTCCTTAAAGGGTAAGTACGCTCTGTTCTTTTACTTGTAACGGCCTCAGGAGTGTCAAGGAGCAAAAAATATAAAACCTCCTACGTTTCATGAACTAGTTACCTCAGCAAAGGCAAGTTCATCGGTCTCACACACGTAAAATTCTCGTAAAGTGGCACTTTGGGGTTGCCCTAAAATTTAATTCATTTAATCGTTTTTTATACGCAGACAGGAAGAATATAGAGCAGCGTTACGATGTACGGGGCCTATTGCCTCAAGTATCCGGCAGAGGCACTGAAAACGAATCACTGCAGTTGTACCTTCTATAATGTGCTCTGTTTTGTTTGTGGAAACAATGGGCGTTATTGCCAATTTTATCCGACAGGAAATGTCAGGCTGAAAGCGAAGTACGAAGGTTTTTGCCAGACAGGCTCACAGCTGGAAACCCATATATTGCAAAGAGCGATAGTCAACTATTCATTAAAACCTAATGCAAAGTCAACTAAAGTCATCATAATCGCTACACAAGCTGGTGATGACAAACCTTTTGCCAAGATCAAGATAGACGGCAAAAAATCCATCGCAGTATTGGATACTGTTTTTAGCTTTAGTTGTTGTAGAGCTTTAGTGATAGACCTTTTAAAAGAACACCAATTTAAAATCGTTAAACCAAAATCTCAACAAGTTTAAATAACGAATGCAACTGAAACGCCTGTAAATGGTAGAATTACCTTACTTGTCGTATGGAGAGAAGAGGTACGTGACCTAAAATCCTTAATAGTTGCAGGCTTACAACGAGAATTCTATATCGGCATTAATTTCTGAAAGGCTTTTCGTTTAACTGCGGCAGTTAAATCAGATCATTCAGCTAATTATTACGCTTGTAATTAAATAATGGAGATAATAAGCCAGACACATTTTTGAGCGTAGCTCACGAACTTCCTGTCCCACATCCGAACTTTTTAGAAAAAATCAATCAATCTTTTCCATATTTTGAGATACTAGAACTTGGCAAAACGCTTTTTGAAAAACATGAAATCACTACCACTGAAAAATATCTACCTACAAAACAAAAATATTATGTTATTTCCTCAGCGATTCAAAAATTGGTACAAAAATTGAAAAGCGCGACGGCAGTTGGCATTTACCAGTTACTTTGGTACGAAGGAGCACTAAAAATTGTTTATGTTTAAATGAACGATCGACCTGTGAAATATGCTTGTTCGTTGGCACACATAGATGGTTTACTCGGTCGCTTACATGGTGCTGGTTACATAACAGCTATTGATTTAAAAGACGCATTCTGGTAAATACCGTTGGAGGAGATATGACGCGGAAGGTCAGTGTTCATAGTAGGCGGAAGACCATTGTGTCAGTTACCGCTAAGGCCCTTTTGTTTATGTAAAATGCGACAGTGAATGTAGGCTAATGGATTATATTATACCTAGCTACTTGCTCGCTTATTTTTGTATATTTGGATGACATATTGGTTTTTACCAAATTTTGTTGCATCAAGCAGATTGCTTGTCTGTAGTGGGTGCCGAAAGTTTGAAAGCGAATCGGGAGAATCTAAATGCAATAAACAATACGAAACAACAGCGAAACATTTAAGAAGGTTCCTTGGTATGACTAGGTGGTACCGTAGATTTATTCGAAATTACGCGGCGATAGCTGTACATCTACATGACTGTCTCACGAAAAATCGGTAAACGGTGTACTCGTTAATAGATCACACATAACATGCGGAGAGTTGACGAACTGTTTTGTTACACAGTCTCTGTGTATAAGATGAACCTGTGTATAAAAGGCCAGGTTTTTGAACAAGAGATGAAATATTTGATGAAAATATCAGGAAATTAAGTACGTACAGAGTTTAAAGGTAAGTATTATTGGCCTGGGAGGACATCAGATTGAAATAAAATAGTGAGCTGTAAATTGGCTCGTCCGAATATAATTTTTGCGTACACATTCATATCACCAGCGATACCGGTGGATCGCAGCTGCAATTTTCGCGCATATAAGTGTAGGGGGTTTCGGTTGGCCGGTATTTACCATTGTCCTTTGCGAAAATGGCAATAAACTGTAAATTTATGTTTTTCTTTTTGTAATTGGCTATTTTAAAAGCTAAAGCAAGAGACAGGAAATATTAAAAAAGAAAAAAATTCCAAAGTCTGTCTGTATAATACATAACTTGAGATTATTGGTTCTCCTTGTTATACACCACGCACACAAAGCCATAAACGGACTTAGACATAGGATAGTTTCATTTTTCTCAACAAGCGAAAAGACGGATTAGCTTGAACTATAGATGTGAATACATCACGCGGCCAATCTCAAGTTTTAAGTAATGAATTTCCCACATAAAAGTTTACTTCTTTTTTTTCAAATAATCCAAATAATTTTTGGAAATATTTAAAAGTTAAAAATACATATATTTAAAATTTATTCACTTACAGCTTAAAACTAGATAAAACACATAATACTCAAAATTTAAGTAATTAAAACTTAAAATTAATTAAGGCACATTTACTTAAAATATAATTAGTTGAAGCTCAAATAAAAACATAGAAGTAATTGAATATATATACTATAAATTGGTGTAAAAACAACTTAAAACATAAACTCATAAGAGTTAATGCTGGTTAAAAACCATTAAATAAAAACTACAAAGAAATTCAGATAGTTTTGTAAAGCATCGTACGGGTAACAATAGGACAATTTTTCTTGTGCTAACGGAAATGAGGGTAAGTTTATGAAATATCCCTTGCTGAGATTACAAAGATTAAAAGGAAAACGAGTGGAAAAGATAAACAACACGGTTGAAGCCTATAAAGGAAATTTATGAAAGTAAGTGTTACTATTACTTTTTTACTTTGTATGATCTAGTATTATTTCTTTTTTAATATACGTATATACCACGCTATGTTAATATGAATATGAATACATGTATATATATATATGTATGATAACATATACATATATATAGATAAATAGTCTTAAAAATACGTGTACATATTCATATAACATTCAGAGCCTTGTGTAAAAAAATATGAAATAGTCTTAGACACAATGGTTTCAAAATGGTGGCATAGGTTATATATATTAAGTAGTAGAAAACAGACTAGCAGTGGAGAAGTCTCGACTTGAAAATGGACGTACCGACGTATTATAGTCAAATGCTAAATATGTTTATGACTAGATCAAAATTTAAATTAATTTTTTTCTCCAATGTTCCATGAGCTAGCTACGCATGGTAAAACAAATCTTCCCAGCTCTTTAAATTACAAATGTTTTATATAAATCTGATACGAAGTGGCCATAATAAAAAGTTTAAGAATTGAATTACTTTAATCATTATGTTAGTTGAAACTATTCAAAAAATCAGGTATGTAAAATCTGCACTTCGTTTTTTTTATTTGATCAAGTTAACGTAGAGCAAAAAAAACCTTTTTTTAGGGGTTTGGTTTAGGAGGTGGAGAAAGAGTTGAGTTTTCGCTCTGGAAGTTTGTACGGAAAAAAGATAAATAAAAATCTCGCAATCAATGAAAATTTAAAAAAAAAAACCGATTTTGCATTCGAATTTCAAAAAATCGATTGGCATTTATGACTGTGCACACCTAAAATATAAAATATCTCATATCGAATTTTAAAAAACATTGAAAAAAACAAAAATATAATATTTAAAACTTAACGTGCTTGCGATCGTGTCGCTGAAGTGATACTTTTTATTATGTATTTTTGATGGAAAGGTTTACAAAATGTGTACACACCGCAACCAAAACCGCGTCAATTATACTTCTTGAATTATTTGCTATACAGATTGCTTAAGAATATCCAATAATATAAATTATAAAAACATTCAAGAAAGCTACCTGGGTTTTTCGAATTTTTCCCTCAAAAATATCTAGAAAATTTGTTTAGTTCTTCATTACTTATTCCGGCGATTGCTAGTGCTCCATAAATATTATATCACACGAAACTTTTGTATAAAGATTTGAAATCAGTGAAAGTATAGCAAATTTTCTTTACTACAGGCAAAATCTGTTGTGAACATTAAAAAATAAGACGTCAGAGAAAAGTAGGAAAAAGTTTTACTGTACGGGACCTACCGGGTTTTCATACCCTATCGTTCCATTTCTAAAGGAAAAATAAAAAAATAAATAAATAAACATAGATAAATGAAACACATAATTTATTATACATTTTAACAAACAGAAACAGAAAAAAAGCAATTCAGCGTTTTTGCTGAAAGCATAACACTACACCAAGTGCCCTATGTACAATAACTGCTGATATCGGCATATTATATATTAAGTAAACAAAATTTGTAAAAAAACTTACGCTAATAATTTAGTATATAAGCACCAACATCTGCGTAAAGAAATGAATTTAGTATTGAGATTTCGCGCCGAGCGCGCCTTGGTATATAAGAAGTTTTTAAAAAAAATGTGAACACAATCCTTTTAATCAAGAGTGATAGTCTTGGTGGGAATAGCCGAACAGATTAGAAAATATATGCACACTTACACTATAGAGCATTCATAGGGATTCATAGGTAATTCTCTGCCACACAACATAGTTCAGAAAACCAATTAAACTTAACATTACATGGGAATCCTGCGAACTATATTAATACCGTAACCTACCACTCTGAAACTTTTACCTCCTTCAATCTGCAGAGCACGCTATTCTAACAGCTCACCATTTTAAAATTAAAGCCATTATGTTTTCATCCTGGTCCTTGGGTGGAAATCAATAACCTAGAAAATTGGTTCAAAGACAGCAAACACTAAAAATGCATATGTATCAAAAAAAAAAAAAATTTTAGACTTCGAGAATAACATCTTAACTATCTACATAAACGACGACTTCATATATCTAGCAATAGCAAATATTTTCAGAAACGTATCCTTTAAAATCTCTAAGCATTCTAACAACTATGTAACAATGAAAATAACTTCTTAGACAAATGTCTAAAAAGATAAATATAACATATTGATAGACCTTAGATATGTAGAATCTATAGTCCATAAAGAGAAAAGACCTAGATCTAGGTACCATTAATAACAATTATATTCTACACAATGTATAATACAATAAATTCTATCCTAAATTACAAGAAATAAATAAAAATTTATAATACAACATAAAATTAATTAATCTAACAAATTTTTCTGACCCTCTAGATGGAAAGAATATGCGAAATAAACATTTCCACAGATAGACTAATAACTAATATAAAAACGTTATTTATTATTATTATTATTTTAATTTTAGACTAATGAATTGAATTCTTAGACTAAAAAAGAGACATTGAGCACTAACAACACAGGCTATTATTTAAAAAAGACCCGCACACAAGAAACTAAAGAAAGCAAACTAGAGGAAATAGGACGATATAAGGAAAGAGTTAATGTAATAAAAGAAGGGACACAAATAAGAGATTGCCAACAACCACTTAACATAGAAGGAACATTTCAACAGAAATACAACAAAGCCAAGGAATTAGAAAAAAAATGAAAAACCAAAATAGAAAATAAGGTAACTAGAAACATTGCACAATCCAATCTAGAAATAGCCTCTATATCTCTCTATCAACTATAAAACTCTTTTCAGACAACCATAAAGAACTTAACGCCTTCTCAAAAGTAACTGAAATAATTCACGACACTTTAAATACAGAAGCAAAACCACAACTCACAGAGTAAACTTAGCCCAAATGTTGAGACCTTCCTACGACAAAAGTTCTTGAGAGACTAAAAATGAGATTAGAAAATCGATATAAGTGAAACGAAACAATGCACCAATTGCATTCTATGCTTAGCCAAACCACACAAAAAGATAGCATAACTGGTTATAAAGCTAAAATTTTAAATATCGTTGCTGAATTTAATAACTTACAAATAAAAGAACTAGACACTAATGCTACTCCCGAACAAAAAAATGTAATTACAAACATTAAAGTTACTTATGTCGCCGCCGCTTTTAAGAACGGACTTGACGGCCCAGACATAAAATAATGAGAATCAAGACCAACCCCAACCGCTACGCACTCCACAGAAACAACTCTTAACGCTCTCTCCTAACTTCAGTAATAGAAAGCGCACCCAACCGCAACAACAGAAATCATTACAACTGAACAAAACTGACAAAAAGCAAACAACAACCATTTCAACAGAAATAATTCCAATAGAAATTGCAATAGCAATTATAATTTCAATAACAATTTTAAAAACAACAAGAATTATAACAGAAATGACAACAGTAACAGGAACCGTCAAATATACCGAAATAAAAATAATCGCGATAGAAACCAAGTAAACAATGAGTATTTCTTTCGAATTCATTCTCGACCACTCTTCAAATCAATCAACTTTATCAATACTTTTCGTGATGTTCACAATAGCTATTGCATGAACAACACCAAAACCACACGCATTAAACTTTTCAACTGCAATTCATTGCGCATAAATTTTAATAACCTTAACAAACTTTTCAACGCGCATCAGGTCAAACCCTTATATACACAGCTAAACAAAACATTTTTTGCATAATAGGACTATTATGAGAAATATTGTGACGTGATATGAAGACTATATGAATATTGAATATGAAAATATTAGCATTGTCATGTAAACAATGAAAAATAAATAATATTAAAATGAGGAATATTGAAAACGCATATATAAAAGAATATATATTGTCTTCCTATACAGTTGCCTTCCTTATACAAATATTAAAACAGCCGACAAAGCCGAAGAATTATATAAAGAACAAACCATAATAGAAAGAAACCAGACAGACCATATCAGTGTCCCTAAGAAATGTTACAATTAACTACTTAACAAAACTTTTTCAATATCAAATTTTAAATTCAAAACTCTACATATTACAAAATAGGTAACCTCTTACCTCTAAAGAGTAAGAGTGTAGTGTATGCAGCGCTACGCTGTACGTACACACAAAATAGACAGAAAAAAGAAATATAAACAAAACAAGTCGCACGCTTGTGAAAATGCTTACTAAAAAAACTAGCCCGCTTAGTTGCTTCCATTACTGCATTATTTTTAACGAATCCAACCACTACCGACATAAACACAATCATTTTATGTTCTTTGCATTACTTTATGTCTTTATTGGTTTATAATATTCTTCGTTATTTAAGGTTATATTGCTGATAAATAATAAAATATAGGTTTAATCTGTTTATGTGTTTGATTGTTCTATTGCAAACAATATTTTTATTGTTTTTCTCTTAACACTCGAGGTGCAAGTATATGTACGTATTTTGTTAAGAAAAAAAAAGTATTGAGTTTTAATTTCATTTTTTCTATCGTTATCAATTAGGTTTATTAACAAAATTAGACCCTTTTCTTTTACACTTTTTTTTCTTTAAATAGTTTTAAAGAAGTTCATGCTTTCAAGTACCTTTTAACATTTTTTATCGTTTATTTATTTCTATAAAAATAGCCTTTCAACCTTTTTTTTGAACGTTTGGTCTGCATTTTATTCATTTAAGACATTTTAAGTTCATTTATAGAAATTAAATAATTATGACAACTGTACTATTCACCGAAAAACAATACTATTTTTTTTGAAGAAGAGATATTTCTTATTTTCAATACAAGAAAAAAACATTTGACGAAAAAATAGAATTTAAGTGTTTCATCTTTCCATTTAAATTACATAGCTTAGCAACGCAAACTCTTTTAATATTGAGCCGTTTTCGTTAATTTCTTCTGATGAACTGTGCGTATCTGAAAGTTAACTCTCGTCCGCCACCAAGCCGATAATTGATAAACGTTTTGATGCCAGTCGTGTAAGACATTCGTGTCATTTTCATCGCC